TAAATGCGCTGACTATTATTTCGTCTTTTATTCATTCCCTACCTGCCTGAAGAGAGCAGAGCTACTGACGCGACTGTTGAGACCAATTATAGAAATATCATCTGCTAATGCCAGCCGTCGGAGACACACGATGAAGGAGTACCCGGTCTGCAACCGCATTCAGTATCGAACGACACTGACAGATTCATAACAATTCTGACGGAGCTTTTGACATTACTCAGCGTCAGTTGACTCATAATTAACAATTCTTTGAGAATTTTCGGAGACTTAGTTAAGGTTGCCAATCATACTTACATATTTAACGACGAATTAGGCGATTTGATGACCGATATTCAAAGCAAGATGAGTTCATGGAAAAAATATTTCTATAGTCTGCTGAATTGTTATGAGGAAGAGCTTATCAATTAGGCTTTTTGCTTGGTCGATCCATCGAAAACACGATGTTTCCCATGCCCCAAAACCGCCAAAAGATCTGTGAGACAAGACAACCTAATGATATTACTTACGTCTGTACTTTTAATCCGAGAGTCGCTGATCTTTAAAATCGTCTCTATAGGAAATAGAAGTAATCATAAGCTTGCCACTCAATTTACAGTCAGTTTCCGCATTTCGTCTGTTTGGAAGCATTGAATAACACATTTGTCTGTCCTATATTTTTTGAAAAAATCTTTAGTTTGACTTAAATTACTTAACTGATTTGTTGTCTATTCCTAACCACTTCTTTCTAACTAGTCTAAAAGTAGCATTATTTTAACCAGTCCGTTTTTAAACGTTTATTTTGTAGTGCTTTGAGACAATTTACTGGCTCATTCCTACTGGAGTGTTTACTAAGTCTCATAGAAGAAGAAGAGATATTGCCCAAGTAGTATTTATTACTTCGACAAGCAAACTGGTGATTTATTGCCTATTTTTAACCACTCGGCTTTTAACTAGTCTAAAATTAGCATTACTTTAACCAGTCGTAGAGAAGTTAAAATTACTCTGAGTTATGTGCATACTCAAAGTTATTGGTAGTAAATCAATAAACATGACTCTACAATTTTCTACTGAGCTTGCTATGAAGATTTAAACAGTTGTTTATGATGCAGATTTGATTGAATTTTATCTAATTTTATATAGGTTATTGAGCAAGGTACCGGTTTTTGAAACTATTAAGGATTCTATTCTAATGTTAGACATTTATATTTATATATAAATACGTATTACACGCTTAGTGAAGTGAAGTGATGAAATGATTAGAACGAGTTTCTGATCAGCAAAAGAGTATAGGGCGCTTTGGAGTTCTTAAAAAAATGTTTAGATGATTTCAAAAAGCAATTTCCAGCGGATGCTTGGTTGAAAAATAATGTGAAGTGTCTAATATGGTAGCATTTTCAATACAAAAATATAGTAATTATCTTATCACATTAAGATTTTTTTATGTTCTTGTGGTTTATCTAAAAATTGGCTGTAAATGTTTCCATACCAGCAACATGGTTGGTTGGTTGGTTGAAGTGGGTGCCGGGCATCTGCTAACCTAGGCTCCAAGTGGGCTTATTGTGACTCCCATTTGCTAATGAAACCAATGTGTGTAGTTACCAAAAAATGAGCAGTCGCCGTATTTTTGGCACCGCTGTCTCGCTGAAATCTGAAAAAGTTTCTGACTCTAGAGACTTCACCTACTCCTTCGCAGTGAAATTGTCTTAAGGATTCAGATTCTTCTTCTTGTCTATAACTTCTGCAAAAGTCGTTCGATGGTGCGCCAAACACTCCTTGCAAGCTCGTCCGCCATCTGTATTGTACATTTATTCAGAAATTTATTCAAGGTGTTAAGTTCTCTGCGGCAGTTCTCTACACCAGCAGCTTTATTACCAAACTCACTTATGACCCTTTGCTACCTTCTACCTTGAAGCCACCACTTTTACGCTATTATTTAATTGTGCAAAATTCTTTCTTTGTGATATATTCTTTTACCCCCATATACTCTATTATAATTAACAACTTCATTATGATCACAATCATTCATATCAGTATACAAATATTAAAGCAAACCAAAGGACTTTTTTTTGTCAATAAAAGTAAAACGGACAATTGATTCAGTCTGTGGGTCTGCGGGTTTCTATATGCGAGCTGTCGCCTTAAACGGAATCTGCAGACAGCAGTTGGTCATGAATGTGTACGTCGAAGGCTGGGCGTGCTGTATGTCTGTGGGCGTTTGTGTATGTCATTGATTGTTGACATGAAGAGCCTTGTGTGAGTGAGCTCAATGCCTGTAGGCCAACATCTGCACGAGAAAAGAAAGTAAAATAAAAATAAAAACAATGAATAAATAAATAAAAAATAAAGCAAGAATTAAATAAAAATAAAACTGCTTGCATTTGCTAAATATTTGCTGTGGTCTTCATTTAATGCTTTTTCTCTGCAAAATGCGATGTTTGTGGTAAAATTTTTTTCTTGTCGCTTTAACAAAAAAAAACAAAAAAAAAAAAATAATAATAATAATAAAAAACTGCTATGTCGCAAATTTAACAACTTGCTATACAAATGCGTGTATGCATGTTTGTGCATACCCATTTGTGAATAAACAAACTTATAATATGATACAGCTGTTGGCCTCAGGATTCATTAGGCTGGCGCCTGCATGCAAACAATACACATGTTATACACATATATACATATGCAATACACATATGATTGTAAGTTTAATTGTATATCTTTAACACTCTCGATTCTTTTTTTTTGTAATAAAAATATTTATATGTATGCATATATTTACATTCGTTTTCATGAAAAATGTGGGCACTTAATTATGTGCCAGCTTCAACGAAGAATGCACTTACTGTGCGCTGGGAATGTGTATCTCTTTTGGTTTTGATGAGCTGCCATGCTGTGGTTGCTGCTGGTGGGTGCTCCATGAAGTGAATATAAAATATTTATGTTGATTTTTTTTTCGCATACACATGCCTACTCATTTACTTATGCAAATTTTTTTAAAGCACCGAGTCGTATGTGTTGGACCTGATATGTCAACCTGAATTCAAATTTCGTGTATAATAATGGAAGATGCTGCTTTGCTTTTATACCACCATAAATGTATATATATATTTTTATATATAGAAAGAACATAAATATCCAGGTCTGCTTATACAAGTGTATACTATTCTGTTAAGTGGGTGTGTGGTCATTGGCACTGCTCTGTTGGTACCTTTGATTTTTAAGACGAGTAAATGCAAAATGAATTCTGGGTTACAGAAAATATTAAGTTTGGCGGATTTTAACCTCTTTTACTTATTCTTAATCTAATTTACCAATAATTAAATTTAGTTCGTTAAACCTTTTTTTATATATAATGGTGATTTTTTAGCTATTATCTTTTGGGCAACACTGGTTTAAACAGCTGACGCACGTTACGTGTTTTGTATCACTTCAATTTGGTCTATAATTTAACCGTGAGTCGTCTTACAAACGAACAACGCTTGGAAATTGTTGCATTTTACTATCAAAATGCGTGCTCTGTTCAGAAAGTTCAAAAAAAAAATGATTGTTTTCAGCAACGAAGCTAATTTTTGGTTTAATGGGTGTGTAAATAAGCAGAATTGTCGATTTTGGGGCGAAGATCAGCCAGAAACATTGCAAGAGCTACCAATGCACCCAGAAAAAGTCACAGTTTGATCCGTTTTATGGGTTGTTGGCTTCATGGCATGGACCGCACTTCTTCAAAGATGATGCGAATCGTAGCGTAACTGTGAATGGTGAGCGCTGCCGTGAGATAATATCAGACTTTTTTTGCCCAAAATACAAGAGCTTGACTTGCATGGCATGTGGTCTCAGCAAGACGGTGCCACATGCCACACAGCACGCGTAACAATGGACTTATTGAGACGCAGCTCGGTGAACATTTTATTTCACGTTCGGGCCGGTCAATTAGCCGCCTACATCGTGCAACTTAACGCCTTCGGACTCTTTTTTGCCTGGCTATGTTAAATCTAATCTCTATACAGACATGCCCGTTTCAAAGCTCACAATGGTTGTCTCAACACGGCCCGAGCTCGAAAAAAGCTCACATGATCAAGTCACAGGTAAAAATTATGGTTTTCACCTTTTTTGGTTACCCGTGGAATCGTTCACAAAAAATTTCTTTCCTTGAGGCAAACAGTAAGTCAAGGCTTCTATCGCCCAGTACTCGAAACATAGCGAAAACGACTCAACAGAATTCACCCAGACACCGCTCGGAACTGGATTCTTCATCACGACAACGCGCCGTTCCATACCGCCCATAGCGAGCCCCAGTATAGGATTTGATTCGTTTATACCTATAGGAAGACTTGGACTGCGGTAAAAAGGTAGACTAGATATTTCACCCTGTGACTTTTCTTTGGTCCCTAGAAAAAGATCGGTGTTTAAAGGAACCCATTTTGAATCGATTGAGGGCATCCAAGCGGTCGTGACGAGGGTACTCGCGGACATCCCAGTCGAAGCTTGGATTTATGGAAAACGCGCTGAAATCGTTGTATAGCTGCCCAAGGGGAGTAATTTGAAGCGAATGACAGAGTTTTAGAATAATTTTGAAATATACGGTTCTTATGGAATCATTCTCGTTACTTAATTGTCATAACACGAACAATTATGTTAACATTGATATGATTTAGAACCGTTAAATATTTGGAGCTTAAATTATTATGAGAGAGACAATGAAAATAAAAATAAAATGATGAGCCAAATGATAATTACTACTTATTTTTTCATTATTTGATTACTTCAGCTTGCTGTCCACATATGCATGTATGTATGCTACTTACATAAGAAAGCAATTTGTGGTCCAACTGAAATTCATATTTGATTTCTAATAATATGTCTGGAAAAATGATTGCTTACTCACATATAAACCAGTCTCATATCATAATGACTTTGACCCTGAATTGTTGTATTAATATCATGTCTTTGTTCGTTATGTACTCGTATATGTCGTACATGTGTTTGTATGTAAGTCTAAAATCATTTCTACTTTATTTTTTGCAGTTAAATTACAGTCAGACAACCTTTGGCATTTTGACATTTAGCACAAAGGTGAGTAAAACGCTTTGAATATTTATTTATAGACTGCTGCTTCATTCTTTTTATTTTATTTTTTTCACATGCCACTTGCTTTCTTTGCTTTGTCCCATTTAGTTGAGATAGCGCCGGTCACGTGCTATGAAATTGAGCTGTCGCAGCATTATTCATTCCCAGGCAGTGCAGTCAGTCAATTGGTATATACACACATATATACTATTTATCAGCTGATTGTTTTGGTCATTGGACATATGTGTGTATGTATATGCTTTGATTCGTTTATACATATATGACGCACTTGGTGCCGCGGTGAAATGTTAGACTAGAGTACAAAAAGTCTAGTTGAATACTAGTGGCTTGAAGGTGAAATAATGCCATTTCATTTGAATGTTGTTGTTTATGTTTATTGTATGCCACGGGTGAATTTTCATTCTTTGACATACCGTTTTGAGGTTCACAGCATTCGTTGCTAACTACATCGTCCCTTTAGCCGAGTGGTTAGAGGTTGTCGCTGTAGCGCGTGAGACTCGCCGTTCGAGAATCGCTGCAGCGAAATTTATTTTTATTTTTATTTTTATATATGGTGAAGTAGGAATTCGACATGCGTAAATGCACTAGTATTTAACTAGTATAAAACTGAAGCACAGTGGAACAATTTACGGTACATAGGACATCGCTGCGTTAAAATTTCCGGTAGCTATCATGGGAAGCGGATGGCAGATAAATACAATAGTTGGTGTAAAAATATTAACTACTTGAATTCTAGTTAGCAACTGAGTGATTGTGTGTGAGCGCAGTATTCCTTTCTTGTATTTTTTCATATTTTTGTTTTTATTATTGCTTTTTTTACTGCCGCTGTGATTTAGTCTGACTTATTTTGGGCAAACAATAAATTTAATTTGATATTGGTTTTCTTTTATAGCGCGAAATTGATTGCTACCGAATGCACAATAAACATTACGTATAGTATGTACAGGGTGCTTCATCTTTTATGTCGGTATGTAAACATTGAATAACTTTGAAAACAATTACCAATCAGGTGGCCACCTTTATTAGCAATTACAAAATTACTTTTGTTTTCTGTGTTTGCCATTACTTTTCCGAGTGTCTCTAGTGTTATAGCGTCGATATCAGCACGAATGTTTGCCTTGAACTCATCAACAGTTTGAGGCTGGTAGGCGTAAACCCCGCTTTTCAGATAACCCGCAAAAAGAAGTCCGGGGGGTTAAATCTGCGAGATGGTGCCTTTTTGTCCGATATTGCTTGTTGAGTTAACCCAATGTAACCCTATATAGTATACTGGGAACACTTTTAAGGCAATAAAAAAATTTTAAGCTGCTGAGGTGAAAACAATAAGCTAAAATTTTTAAATTTGGAAAAAAATTTGCGTTAAATTGATTTTTAACAGGCCACACGATTTTCAATCGGCAATGGCCAAGAGGCCAGAACGACTACTACTTCAATTCAATTTGCAAAAAGAACATCAGTGAACTTCACACTAGAGGCACAATGGGAGTGTAGCAGCGCAGCTTGTTCAAATGTAAGTGTGCCCGGCAATATTGCAATCCTATGGATGTATTCTCGTCTATGTAAGACCCTATGGGTCCTTTAAAAGCATATTGAAAGCAAAGAGCAAAGACAAATAAAATTTTCAAAAAAGCATTTCAACTTAATACTGCCTAAAGAAGTTGGAAAATATTACTATTTTCATTTAACGTTTTCATGTATTCAGAGAGGATTTGTTAAAAAAATTACTTGAAGATAAGCAACGCAGAATCACGCTTGCCAGCAAGTGCTACTTTGCACTGAGTGGGCAATTGAAAAGTGAAGTCCTTTTTTGATGAACAAAAACTAAGCTCTAGAAGGCGCTCAACATTCCCGGCCTGCTATATGGACGATGTCGGCATCCGATGAGAAGGCTTTGGTAGTTTTCGGGAGAGAGGTTATGCGAACGATTTACGAACCTTTTTGCGTCGACAAAGGCGAATACAGATCATGACATGTATAGGGGATAATATTTCAGTTTTGGAAGTTTTCCACACATCAACGGCTGGTGGAATCATGGAGCAGTTAGATCGTCATACTTTTTGAAGGATTAGGTGGAGAAGGATCTGACCTCACCTTGGGTCGAACGGTTAATGGAAGAAACGAGTGGCACGCTGTTGTTAACAGCGAATGAAAAGTGTGCAGTGGGCTATGGTAATCTAAAATTTTCGAAAATATATGTATTATATATAAGTAAAAACAATATTGAGAAAGTTGTATTTTTTTCTGTATAAAAAAGTTGTAAGATGAAAGAAAAGACAATTATTATCATTTTAAAATTCCAATTAATCGTAAATTTCTTAGAACTTAACACTAAGTTTGACTTTTTAAAGTACTAATTTCTTCTGCTCGGTATTCACCAGACTCAGCACCATGTGACTTCTGGCTCTTCCAAAAACTCAAGAGACCACTTTGAGGACACCGTTTTGAGTCGATTGAGGAGATTAAACGTGAATCGGCGCGCTCTCTGAAGGCCACACCAGAACCCGACTATTTGACCTGCTTCGATAATTCGGAAATGCGTTGGCATAAGCGGCAACACGAAAAAATCGATGTAGAAGAATAAATAAAGATTTTTAATTTTACAAACAAATTCACCTTACATTTTGCCCACAGCAGTATAGAGTTACTTTTAGTAAGATAAAGAAAACTAGCGGTAGGTGGGATGATGGCAATTATTTTTGATTTTATAGCAGGGTTTGTTTTTGAACTTAAAAATGTCTTCAAACCTCTTTTTGGTGCTTATGTTGAAAGTTGACATTTTACCGTCAAATCTACAGTGGTCTACGTGTTGCTCATCAGCTGTTGTTTTTGGTTAGCCGCACATTCTTCGCCGTCCATGGTTTTACTGACTTCTTTGAGCACTTTGTATTACGTGGAAACATTTTTTTTTCGACAGAGTCTGGTTGCCAACGGCCTTCTGAGTATTTTAGTATTTCAAACATTTTTCTGCTTAAAAAGCAACAGATTTATTTTTAATGTAACATTAAAAAATATCCTTAGAAATTTTTAATTCTACAAATAAGAATTGTGTTTACTGCAAAAAATATTTACATGCTTTTTATATCATATTTTCATACAACTAAGGTCTACAACAACAAGAAAAAGTCATTTTTTTTTCATTTAAATTTTTTTAAATTTTTTTTATTAATAAATGAGTGCTTTTTTTAATTTTCAATGATATTTTAATACCAGTTTTTGTTAAGCGTCTATAAATATATAACCATTTGAAGTTAATACTCCGTACATTTCTCTATTTCCATGCATATATGTACATATGTATCTACACACAAATGTATTATTAATTTCCGCTTGCAGTGCAATAAATTTCATTGTTATAAAATATGAATTTATTATTTACAAAATATTGCCATAATCCTAATGGCTTAGCTACCGATGGCATAAAGCAAATATATTCATACATACGAGTATACATATACATATACGTTTACGTACGTACATATGCATATGAGAGAGATAAATTCCGCAGCCAATTTGCTGCCAAATTCGCTATTATCATTAGGAAATACAACAGCGCCCAAATTAACTAACACACGCTAGTATTTATATATATACGTAAGTATGTATGCGTGCATGCATGTATGTAAGTGCCATTTGCCTGCATATGAGGGCGCGCGTGACCACAACAGTAAATTGTATGTACATACATATTTAAATCAACAAATGGATTTAATTCCATTTGAATTATAAATGCCTTGTGGTTGTGGCTTGAAAATGTCACAATAACATTTTGAACAAATATTTAACACAAATACAATTGCATGTGTACATACGAGTATTATACAATATATGTATGTATATATGTATGCGTATTTACATGCTTAACAGCGCTTTTCGTGACATTTGAAATGTTCGTTGATGTGGAAAGTGATTATATTAATCTAATATTTACAGTAATTAAAAAGAAATCAATTGAAATTTCAAATGTTGCACAAAGTGAGTGAATTGGTTTTATACAAAAAACAAAAAAAAAAAAAAAAATACATTCACTTATGTATACATGTAATATGTATGTATGTGTGTGAGCAATGGCGTATTTAACAACTCATGCATTAAAAAGCGAAAATAAATAATAGTTATACTAAGTAAAAACTGTGAAAATCAATTCATGTTAATAATATCTATATATATATATATATATATATATATATTTGAGCTTTTTAAATTTGCACTTACATATTATATGCATGTATGTATATATGTAACTGTGCTCTTTTTTGTTAGTTTTACTATATATCCCAAGGTTTATAGAACACAAGGTTGCGACAAGAGCAAAACGATGTATTTAATGATGAAGTTGGTTCAGTTTTGAGAGTTGCCAAAGATTTTAAAATAAATTTTCATAATCTTATCTAAGAAACATCCGACATTTTGGTTATAAAACTCCTTGCATGTTAATTTTTTAAAATTAAAAACAATTATAATAAACAATAAAATAAAAATAAATTTTATTTTTTAGAAAAAATTTCTCTACCAAGCAACTCTAAATTTTTTGACAAGTATGGAATAAGGAAATAATGTCAAAAACGTTATAAATTGTTAAAATCTCAAACGAACGTGCAAGGCAAGGCAAAATCACACACTTTACTATCAAAAATACAAAAACAAAAAACCCTCGTATTTTGTTTGGGTAATTATAGTTTCGAAAAGTCGAAAACGAAATTCGTTCAATGTATTTTGTTTCTTTAAACGAACGTTCTCATGTATTTTGTTTGTGTAATTTGTTGAAATGGAAGAAGAAGAACAATCAATCATATGATCTGACAACTTCACCTTCTATAAATTCGCCTTGGCGAACGTGCACTAGCTAACATATTGAATGCTAAATTTTGGATTTTGGAAAATGGATGATCCATATCCTATGACAAAATCGTGTTCGAAATTTCGAAGCGGTGAAAAAGTATACAGTGGGTTGTCGTTGACAAAAATTTAAAAAAAATTATTTCTGT